CAGAGAGGACTAAAGAGGTTTGAAACTCTCCCCCCTCTCTCCAGCCCAACGGTTGTTTTTGTGCAGTCTTTCTTCTCCACTCACTGCCGACCTTCAAAGTAAGTAACTCATAAAATGTTATAGATTAAATGCAATTTTCATACATATAATATATTTTCAAAATTCTCTCTCATTGTCCTGGATAATAGTTTGGAGGTCTGGGGATGTGGAGGCGAAATGACACTTGGCTAGCTTTTTTTCTGAGAGGTACTTTTGTCCTACACACTTCAGATTCACTTATAAGGTTCCCATATAATATTTTTATAGGTTTAACCCAGTTAATCTGTCTGTATAGATGTAAACTGTAAAAGGTTAACATACATGTGGCATAGTTTATATGGGACTGATCATTTCTTTTATTCACTCTTTCATAGTTTTACCAGCTGGTTGCTAATTCTATACCAAAATTGGTGGCTGTTGCTCTTTTGGAGATTTCATTTACTTTTTCAGCTTTATTTATTTATTTTTAAGTGGCATGATCTGCAGCTTACAGAAAAATTATGGCTGGTCTGGTTCCCTCATAGTGTCATAGACGGATTTCCTCTACACTAATCATACATCCCCTCCTCTGCAAAGTGACTCTTTTTAAGCTTTAAGAGCAGCGAACATTACAGAACACTATTTTAGCTGCATGCACCTTGTACCGGTACGTAACTGTGAGATGCACCTGCAACTTTACAATAATTTATGTGTGGTGTGTGTATTTGTATTTGTACATGTTTGTAAGCAAAGGCTTCCCTCGAGTTTAAGTTGTGTATTATTATGTACAATTTGAGCCTATTTTATTGCTTATGTGAAGACTATTTCCCAGGAAGCAGAATTTTTTGGTGTGATGAGTTAGTGTAATTGATCTTGAAAATGTTGCTTTTTGCTGATTCGATTGGGCAGACGTTCACCTTGATAAAATACAGATGTTCACAGAGTGTGCTCAAGTATGTGAAAAATCTTGACTGTGTGGAAGATATTTTGTGTCCCATTAATTTGTGAGACAGAAGGGTGCACCTCAACTTTTGGTCATGATTTGCCAGCTGGTTGGGACATTGAGATCAGTTGGGAACGTGGGAAATGCACAGGTAAAAAAATTTAAGCTTTTTTTCAGATATTTCCAAATTAAAAACTAATTCTAAACTAGGTTTGTGAACTTTTGATGTATTAAAAACCAAAAAACTTAAATATGCAGAGTAAATTTTGCTGCAGGCTTTTTGAAAACTGCATGGGAGATAGATATGGGTAAACAGATGGAAAATTCGATTTAGGAGGACAGGTACGGCAGAATTTGATCACGTCCGATAATGTGTGGCATCAGTTAATTCAATTCAAGATGTTTCCTTGCCTGGAATATCAAAACACCCAGACTTCAAGAATGTCTTCTTCTTCTTCTTCTTCTTCTTCTTCTTCTTCTTCTTCTTCTTCTTCTTCTTCTTCTTCTTCTTCTTCTTCTTCTTCTTCTTCTTCTTCTTCTTCTTCTTCTTCTTCTTCTTCTTCTTCTTCTTCTTCTTCTTCTTCTTCTTCTTCTTCTTCTTCTTCTTCTTCTTCTTCTTCTTCTTCTTCTTCTTCTTCTTCTTCTTCTTCTTCTTCTTCTTCTTCTTCTTCTTCTTCTTCTTCTTCTTCTTCTTCTTCTTCTTCTTCTTCTTCTTCTTCTTCTTCTTCTTCTTCTTCTTCTTCTTCTTCTTCTTCTTCTTCTTCTTCTTCTTCTTCTTCTTCTTCTTCTTCTTCTTCTTCTTCTTCTTCTTCTTCTTCTTCTTCTTCTTCTTCTTCTTCTTCTTCTTCTTCTTCTTCTTCTTCTTCTTCTTCTTCTTCTTCTTCTTCTTCTTCTTCTTCTTCTTCTTCTTCTTCTTCTTCTTCTTCTTCTTCTTCTTCTTCTTCTTCTTCTTCTTCTTCTTCTTCTTCTTCTTCTTCTTCTTCTTCTTCTTCTTCTTCTTCTTCTTCTTCTTCTCATTTTTAGACAATCGTATTTAGTATAATCCCTTTATAATTTCATTTAAGTTTCCATTGAAGATGTATGATTTGGGGTGTGTCCACTACTGCTTATATCCCCCTTATTGGTCCACCTCTGTAAGTCATATATGTTTTTTTCAAAAACCAAACTTTAGTGAATGTTTTCAGTTGTCTCCTTCCAGGAAAAGAATCTGGTTTAAACAGAGCTCTTTGTGTCTTCCTATATTGAGTTGACATGATTTCTTATAGCCTCCTGGTTTCCCTGTTTCATTCCACTCCATACACCAGCATATTTAACTGGTTTATGGTTGTTGCTGGTAAAATGTGTAATTTACTCAACAATACCTAGTGGATCAGCTTTATCTGACTCCCCTGCCATTAGGCTACTCTCAGACAGGGATGGAACAAGGGATATCTCACTATCATGAGAGATCACTCATCCAGCCAATAAGCTGTTTAACCTACCGCCATCTGGAAGTGGATACCTTTTTAACGAATCAAGAACAACCTGATTTTGCAAGAGATTTATTCCTCCAGCGTTACCACTGAGGAAGCTCTGCTGACCCATTTCTTTTAATAAATATTTTTTCTAAATTTGATAAATGGTGTTGGAATTAGCAAATGTATGGTATTTTTTTTCTCCTCCTTCCCAAGACAGGCATACTTTAAACACATTTCACAGTTGAAAGCCTCATAGGCAAGGTACCTGGTTTTCTTTTAAGACCTCTATTTTTTTATTTATAGGGATATTTTGGTAAATGTATCAACAGGCATCATAATTCTCAGTTTCTGATGCATTTAATCCTCGCAGGGTTACAATGGGGCTGTCGGTTGTCTCTAGTGGTCATCAGGTGAGAGGCAGGTTGTACATCCTGGACAAGTAACCAGTCAATCCCAGGTCAAAACCACCACAGAGTCAAAAACACTCCTAAATCCCACTTTATAAGAGGATAAGTATCAAGCTTCTTTCTGAAGACATTCATTTAACTGAAAGGTTGGAATAAATAGTGTAGCATTCAAATAAAGTTAGGCTAATATGATCTTAATTCATTAAATATATATACACCCCACAACTGCCCTGCCTATACTGTTATTGTTTTTATGGTTGCAGTTGTTCTGCAAGTGGAAATCATCTTTTCACATTAAAGGTATTCTTTGCATTTCTCTACTATTACAATTTTACTCTGCCTGACTGCAGTGGACTCTTCTTAAAGTAAATTTACTAAATGATTTCAGATGCATACCTGACTCTGATATAGAGCTCTAAAATTACCGTTTGAATACGAAACTTTTGACACTGGAGTTCTTGGTTTATTCATGGCTCACTGCATTATGGTTCAGATACATGATATCTACCTTGCCATATTCTGATCCAGCTGCTGCAGCTGAGGGGCCTTCAGTGTTTTTTGGATAACAGGTTATTTTCCCAGTGCAATCTAGAGTGGAACGTCTCATGAATGAAGAGCTCAAGAAGAAGGTTGCTAATCAAACAAGAAAACACTCTCCTTTTTGGTGACCACATGGTTTGCATTGCCTAACCCTTCAGAAAAAAAAAATGCTAACAGCTCCAGAGCATCATACTGAAGCAGTGGATTAGTCGGCTTGCAGCATGAAGCATTGTAATGTCCTTTGTTAGGATCCTATCTATGATTCTTTCTGCATAGTATGTATTTACTCCCTCTGCATATGCAGGTTTTCTCCAGGTACACCAGTACAGTCCAAACTGGTTAATTAGTTACTTTTTATCATACTTAGGTATTAATGTGTGCCTGATTTTTTTTTGTCTTTCCTCCCTGTAATACCCTGTGGTGGACTGGCAACCTGTCCAGGGTGTAACTAACTCTCACTGTCAAGATACCCAGACTAGACGATGGATGGATGGATGGATGGATGGATGGATGGATGGATGGATGGATGGATGGATGGATGGATGGATGGATGGATGGATGGATGGATGGATGGATGAAATGAATTATCATTGGAAATTATCTGGTATTTTAGTGAAATAAAATACATATATAACTGATAATAGTTCTTTCTGTCTTTGCATGTTTGGAGGCAAGATAAGGGTTTGTCCTTATTAAGCATAACTCATCACAGTTATTCTAATGTCTTTCATTATTACCCTGACAATACGTCAATTTATGCTTTTACAAAAAAAATGAACTTATATGATTCGCTTCATTGGCATGTTCTCATGTCTATCTCTTTTTGTAGAGTAGTTAAATAATGATGGTGTAACTCTTTTTCATTCCAACAGTTTAAACATCAGCCAAACAGGAAACCTTTACAAAATGTTAAGAAATGACAGAAATAATAATAAAAAATTTTTTTGGTTATAATGATCTCAAAAAAATTGTTGTTGAACAAAATGTGTTGATCAATTTGTTAAAATAATAGCTGATTCAGATTTTTATCTTACTGAAAAAATGTGCATAAATCAAAACTTTTTACAACAATTTCAAATTTTGTTGCTATAATAAAAGATGGATTGATAGGTTGGTTTTTACTACTCTTTATCGGGGTTGCCAATAATTGCAAACAAAGAATTTTCAACTCTCAAATAACTTTATGACTAACTTTTATTTTTACAGCTTAATAGACACACTTGTTTCTGTGTAGATTAATTCTTTTTTTAGAGCAGCAATAAACCAAGTTTACTGACAAGTTATTTTAAAAATGATCCTAATTAAGGTTTTAAGCTTGAATAATATGAGTTTATTTCTTTGTAACTGTTTCCTTTTATCATATGTTTCTCATTGTTTCCTCTTTCGCTCAGTCCTTCTAAGAGTGGGTGTGCTTAGTGAAAGCTTAATAATTTTTTTTCTTTCTGAAACAATAAGATTATATCAATGAAAGGTTTTTATTAGGCTAGCCTTGGTGTTAGTGTAATTTTCTAAAGGACATTGACAGAAGTTAGTTGAGCAGAAAACCGCTGCCAATCACTCTTAAAGAGGAAGGATTGCAATAAACAAGCCTGTCCTAATCCTTTGGTTTCACCTCCTACGCCTCCTCAGCTTTGTCCACCTCTCCCTCCCGGTCTCACTACTCTCCCACTCTGCTCTCCGAGCTGGAGTCGATGCTGCTAAACTCAGCCACTGAACACGCTGATTCTATAGGTTGGCCCTTATTGAGAAGTTCCTGTCTGGACCATTTATGGCACATTGGCTGAATTACATAGAGGAATGCACATCAGTTAACAGGCTGGACTGAGAGAAACTACAGGAGGAGCAAAAAAAAAAAAAACAGATTTTGGAAAAGTGAAGTTGGAGTCTGAGAGGAGCAGGTGGACCTCTGGCATTGGTAGCTTCAGCCTTGTTTTTCCTTCCAACAGGTAGGCACAGCCACAAAGTTTACAGGTGACTAATCACTTCTGGTTCTGGTTTCAGTATACTTACCAAATATTTAAACAAAAGTAATAAGGTTCCCTTTTACATGCATTAATTTTGAACTATGTTTTTTTATGACAGACATTATGCTTTTCCATTTATAGTATTTAAAGTTTTCCTCATCTATGTAAGATGTGTAAAAAAAAACATAAAGATAAACATTACATTAAAAAATTTTCTTAAGATTAAAAAAAATTCCCTTTGATATGAAACAAACATATTTATTAGGCTTTGTGAAAATAAATGTAAAACCTGGGTCTTTATTAGATGGAATATCCTTTAATATTTATCATCAATGCTGTATTTCTATCAATTAGCAAACCTCGAATCTCAAATAAATACTCTTAATGAAAATCATTTATTAAAAAAACTGTTATAGCAAAATTCAAATATGTAATAAATAAATAAAAATATTTGTGAATATGTAAATATGCCAATAATTCATTCATTTACACGTATACTGAATTAGTCATGAAAAACCATAGGCAAAAATATGTCATTATATCTTTTTGAGTGTTTATATACCCATCTCATGCTTCATTTATTGCACTACCATGATAAAAAACTATTGAATTTGTTCCTGTGGCTTGAATAGATAATAACAAATGAGGATTGGTTAATCTGCACAGTGAGAGCAGTTTAAACTGATTTTCCTTCCCTCCAAACAACTAATGTGGAAGGCCAGCCGATAAAGTAAGCTTAGGATGCTCTCTCTGCAGTTTAGCGCAGTTGGATACATTGCAAAATTACTGTAAATGCTTTGCAAGCGACATAAATATTTATTTATGAGAAAACGATTTTGATTTATCAAATTTTAGGAATTTGTTTTTTGTTATTTATTGTAAAATAACATAAAATTTTTAAATATCTGCATTACAAATCTAGTGTAAAACCCTTTGCATTAGATCTATAGAATGTTTGACCTACGAAGATTTTTTCTAAGTTATAAATTCAACCTAAAAATAATATATAAAGAGAAATGTAGAGTAGAGTTTTCTTAGCTAATGTTTGCATATTGGACCTATATTCCTGTAAGTTAACTGCCTTTATAGATACCCGAAGGAACTTTGATTATAAGGTCAGACCCATATGGTCTCTGACTCTGACTTAGTTGTACATCTTGAACTGAGTTTCCCAAAATCTATATAAGACTAAGTTAAGCTTGACCTACATTGCCCAACTGGCTTTAGAGATATGGGTCATATTATGTCAACTCATTTGGGTCCCAATCTTATGTGTGTTTTGAGTCTAAGCCCATTCCAGATGGAACAAAATCCATACAGAGGTACATCTAAACATATTGGCTGGGCAGTGACCTCCCCCAGTTCCTCACCCTCACCTCTCTGCTCACCACTCTATCCAGGTGACTGACCCAAACATTCGGATGCATTTATCTCTGGATACCATGAGCATGGTGGACGACAGCTGCCTCTCGCCCAGCAACTTTCACGAAATGGGGAAAGGCGGGGGCACCGCAGTCGGGGGCCGCGTCCACAGCATTGATGTCATCCTGGGCTTCAATAAAGACCAGGACCCCTTGCTAAGTCCTGCTGGGCCCACTGGGCCCCAGAAGATGGGTATAGATGGGCTGGGAGAACATATGAAGCAGCAGGAACCCTTGTCTCACCCATCCTACAGCGGACACCTTTCATCTGTAAGAAACAGCAGCACGCAGCAGTACCAGGGTGAGTGAAGACAAAGATTAGAAGCACTTTCATCATATTACAAGGAGTGTGAATGAATTGCTTTGGATCCAAATCACTTTTATATATTTTTGAATTATTTTTTTATTTGTTGCAAAACTATTTTATATCTATTAAATATTGTTGGCAGAGTTGGCTTGAGAAGAAATTTAAGATTTTAACCCTTTAAAATCAAGTGTATCATATTTGATGCAGGAGTATCAAAATATCGGCATTGTGATATTTTTGTTCTTGAAAACCCTGAATGACACAATTAAACACAAGTAAGGGTCTAATTGTGTCTGATAAAAAATAATACAGAAATGACTAATATGTCATAAATTATGTAAATAAATCATCTAATTTGACTAATACAAAAATTATGTTTTTGAATTTTTTCTTCAGAAAGTTCAATTGCATTTCTAACAAATAAAAATGGAATCTTCTGAAAAATATTTTATGTTCCAGGGCTTTAAAAAATAAAAGTAAATTATATATATATTTAGCACTTTAGAAACATAGTAAATCACAAAACTATTTGTAAGCTTTAAATTGGAAACCCAACATTTCAAATGTATCCCAGATTTAAGAAATGTTTACAGTACAATAAATAATGCAGTTGACTCAATATATAAATCTAATCATTTATCAAATAAAATATGTATTATTTCACACTGAAGACAATCTGACCATTTGATGCCTTATCTCTGCAGGCATCAAATTAAAATCACTAATCAGAATGTCGCAGAGTGTTACTTGCTGTAGATTCTGTTGCTTTGACTGAACTGAGCAGATAAATCACAACACAAGATGGTGTAGAGAAGGGTTTATGTCCCCAAGACCAATCCCATCTCCATCTCCTTGTGGAATTCCTCCCTAATCTTCTCTTCTCTGCAGATTTGATTGTAGAGCAGTTCATTCTGGTGTTATTGTCATCGTTCAGCCTCAGAATCAAATTTGCTACGTTTTAATCTGAAGCTATTTTCACATGTGGGATCAGGCAGGTGGTTGGTGGTAGAAACAAGCACGATAGAACCCTCTTCATCACAGAGATTATTAGTTGCTTTATTTTTATCAAACTGACATGCATCGACAGAAGTGACATCACTCCCATTATGTCTATGTTTCTTGTGAAGTTGGTCCAGATCCTCCTGAATGAGTTCTGCAGGTTTTTTATACTGCTTGGTGTCACTTCGGCTCTGCTCTCAGAGTGGAGATGTTTTTCCTGGCTGAGAAACAGTGGGGAGGCTTCAGACCAGTGGCTGTGATGGGCTGACAGGCCAAGAGCTGGTCACTGAACCAGACCTGACCTCTACCTTTGTCAGCTTCTAGCCTTTGTCATGGCTCCTTAATGAGAGGTGGATAAATTAACCCCACAAATCCTGCTTTGCCTCTGCTGCTGCTGCTCCTGTTTGTCAGGGCAAAGACCACGGCGACCTGCCTTTTATCCTCGTCAATACATCCTCTTAACAAAAAAAAAAAAACACTTCATTGGGAATTGTGTACAGTCTGTTCTTTTAATGAAGCTCAGATTATAAAATGACTTTTGGTTACTAAACTGATTACTTACTTTCAAACTTCAGTAACCTTTATTTTACCGAAAACCAAATAAGTAAAAAAAAAAAAAACATAGTGTTAATAAAAATGTGACAAACTAAACATGCACTAAAGATCATCACATCAGAATACAATTTACTTTAGCTTTATTGGTTTATTAATGAAGGTACACCTTATGCATCAGTTCAGTTGTTTTACTGAAACACATTATCATTAAAGAACAGATTAATCATCTCCTTAAACTAGGTTAGACTTGAGCAGAATTAAATGATGCATTAATTAAAGTCAGAATGGAGGCTTTGGTGCCTGGTGCTGATGTTGTCTGCTAAATGGTAAATGTCCTGTACTAATAAAACCTTCTATCTAGTCCAAGGACACCAAATTGTTTGACACGTCGTTCAGTTTTACATTCACATTCCCAGGCTGATGATGGCAAGCTACAATAAAGCAAAAGCCACCCTGGGGCAGACTGACAGAGGCGAGACCGCCGTGCAATAATACAGTATTCTGTCTGTTGCGGCATGCCGTTTCTTTAGATACCTAATTTCATGAATTAGTTATCAACCTTGTGAAGCAGATGCTGCCAAAATGTAATTATTTCGTGATACAACGTTAAACATGGAGCTCTTATGCAAAAAGGTCAAATTAACTTTCTTTCTGTGATTGACATTTTATTCAACCTGAGCCAAATGCTGTGCAGCCCTGGGACTAAGGAAAGACATCAACTCCTTGTCGGTCGCTGCCTCACAAAGGCAATTGATCTGATTGGGGGATCACCTTATGTGGTTTTTTTTAAATTTAATTAAGTGACTTACTGGTTAAGCTAGTTAGTCCAACAGCCCACCCCTTACTGTGCCATGGACCTTAATGGGTAAACTTTCTTTTACAGTACATCAATAACCATGTAATAATGGGGTAGTTACACTATATTACTAGGTAACAAGAAAACTTTATTTGGTAATTACCCCAAATTGAGGTTTATAATTTCAAAGTAATTACCTGCATGTATCATTACTATGGAGACTTTTGCTGGGTAATTACCATCAGGTTACCACATAACAGTTTATTTTTTTGGCCGCCACCTACCAATGGCTTACAAAGTAAATTGAAACTTATGATCAGGCAAATAAAGCATTATAACGCTGAAGTTACATATAAATAAGAGTTTAGTTAAGAAGATTGACTTGCCATCTTCTAAGTTTGGTTTTCTCTTATGTCAAGTAATAAACTGCATATTACTGGATAATAACACATTGACTTATTTCTGTCAGTGAAATGACTGCATTACCTGGTAATAAAGGTTTGACATTTAAGAAGTCTGACTTTACCTTGTCTGCCTGGAATTAAAAGTACAGCACAAAATTCTCCATAAAGACTGAAACTCACTGCGGATTCAGACATTTGAATTGAGAAAGCTTCCTGGAGGGGAGGCGAAACATCTTCAGTTCTTGAAAACCAAGTCCAGTGGATTGTTTTTTAAACTTTTATAGAATCTCCATTAAGTTTTTCTTTTTAACCTACTAATATAGGGTAACTTGCTATGTTATTACTATGTTATTAAATGGTTATAGATTTACTGTAAAAGAAAGCATTACCCCTAATGCTTCCAGTCTTTTTATAGCTTAAGGTGATGCATACTGACTGAAGATGATATATATATATATATATATATATATATATATATATATATATATATATATATATATATATATATATATATATATATATATATATATATATATATATATATATATATATATATATATATATATATATATATTCTTTTTATTTTAGTACGCTATGGTGTGATAAATTGGTGACAGAATTGAAACAAAACAGCAAAGTGATGATAAATTTAAGAAACAACAAAGACCAAGAATGTTTTAAGATCTATTTAGGTTCAAGCCATTACTTTTTCCACTCAACAACAGTACTTTATTGTTGGATTTGTTGAGCAAATGTCCACTTTGCTGGAAAGTGTACATTGCAACTTTAACTCAAGAGTACATTAGCTTATTTCAATTTAATCCTTTGGCAAACTCATGGCATGTACTTTGATTACCTCTAAAAGTATGTAATGAACAAAGTGACCATTATCTGTCAATCATATTTCCTTTAACCTTAGCAGATTCTGGCCTGTACGGAAACAAGAGCGACGAAGAGCTGAGTGAGCTCAGAAAGAATGTAGATAGCGATGAAGGCAAGTCTCCGGAGCCTTGCAAGGATGATCAACCCAAGAAGAAACACAGACGCAACCGCACAACCTTCACCACCTACCAGCTGCACGAGCTGGAACGCGCCTTTGAGAAGTCCCACTACCCAGATGTCTACAGTCGGGAGGAGCTGGCCTTGAAGGTGAACCTCCCTGAAGTCCGAGTCCAGGTGAGATGGGCTGCTCCAGCTTGACCTGCAGTTAATAGTTTAGTGAGCACAAACACATAGATATGAGATTTTACCAAAGATGTCAAAAGTGTAAATGTTTATTATTAAATTAGAAGTATAAATCCCACTGTTTCAAAACACCTTTGTAGAAGTGGGAGTATTAACTTAAGCTTTTTACTCAAGTAAAAGTGTAAAAGTACCATTTTTAAAACTACTTGAACTGTAAAAGTAAAAGTAATGCAGGAAAAAATTATAAGGACAGATGCTTTACTGCACTACCCAATTAAAGGAACATTTTTCTACAATTCTGGATGATAACTTTGCATCATCTTGAAAATATATTTTGGTGCAGTACCGAGTCCAACCACAAAGAAATTCCTTTTTTTTGGATGAAACAAATTATTTTGTTAGTTTTAAAATAAAAATTAAATAAATAAATAAACATTGACTATAGATATATAGACAAGTGAAGCCTGCACTGCTTCACTGCTTCAGATAATGTTCCGGGTTATTGTGACCTCGTGGATTCATTTAAAATGACCTCTTGGAATGATTTTGGTTTACTGACCACTCCTATGAAGGTTTACCACTGTTCTGTTTATGCTTTCTCCATTTTTGGACATTGGCAAGCATGGCTCATCTATCAGTCCTTTTCTAGACTGATATCAGTCACTTTGTCTCCCACCTTTTCCTGAATGTCTTCAGATCAGGCCATGATCTGTTACTTTATGAGACAGTTTAGCCAAACTTCACTTTTTAGACAGGTTCTGCTAATGTAATTACTTAATTGTGCAGGTGAGCCTAGTAAAAGTGAAATCAACATTTGCAGTTATTTCCATTACTAAATGAAATACTCAACTAGAAACTGCAATAACTAAATTATCACTAGCTTTAATTTATTTTTGATTACAATCAACTGTTTCTCTTGTAGGTCTGGTTTCAGAACCGCAGAGCTAAATGGCGTCGGCAGGAAAAGATGGACGCAAGCACCATGAAGCTTCACGACTCCCCTATGCTCTCCTTCAATCGCCAGGCTCCAGTTCACACCAGCATGGGCCAAATAACCAACTCCCTCCCTTTGGATCCTTGGCTCACCTCTCCCCTGTCCAGTGCCACACCTGTCCAGTGCATCCCAGGCTTCATGGGTCCAGCTCAGGCACTCCAGCCCAGCTATTCCAGTCATGGATTCCTCAACAGCGGACCCCATGCCCCTCACCCACACTCTCACCCTCATCCTCCCACTGGACAGGGGATGCAGAGTATGGCACGTCCACCTTACCAATGTCCAGCCCCATACTCGGAAAAGTTTCCTCTAGAGGACGTAGACCAGCGCAGCTCGAGCATCGCTGCTTTGAGAATGAAAGCCAAGGAACACATCCAATCAATGGACAAGACCTGGCAACCTATGTGACCAGCGCATTTGACAGCCCATGTCAGTGACAATCCTGGGGAAAAGGAGATAATGAAAATCATGCCTGCTCTCACACAACATTAGGATTAAACTGAGCTGTGAAAACTGAAGATCCTTTTTGCTACTTTCTTTTAATCTTTTAATATTCTTCTCTCATCTCCAAGACATAGAGGAGTTCACCACTGTGAGGCTGCATATTTGGTCATCTGTTATTCCTTTAGATCTTTTGTGCCTTGGGTGCCGTAAATGTAGAAACTCCAACTAGGGTCATCGTACCTTGCACCCAAGAAACTATTGGATTTCATTTTTTATTTTTTTTTTAAGTTTATTTAAAGCTCCCAGACCAATTAAGTCATACACTTGAAATTAATTATTATTTACTATTTAGAACTTTGTTTTTTAAAATTTTCTCATTACAGCCTCATTGTTTTCTATCTGACTTTTATGGGCAACACAAAATAGTGTTTGGTTATAAAGTGGAAGGAAATATTATAGTGTTAAATATTTGTTTACACACAGAGAAGAAGAAAAAGAAGAAGTATGGCTTACATTTGCAGCTAAAAGTCCTTTGGAGTATCTCTCCACCAGCTCTGCACCTCTAGGGATTAAATTATTCCCCATTTTCAGCTGAAGCTCATTTAGATTAGATGGGTGCTGGCAGTAACTTAAGCTGTAGATTTTAAGCTGAATTTAGGGACAGACTTCGACTTGGCCATTCTAGCACATTTTTAAGTTGTCTGCAGCCTTTAACAAGTTTTCTTTAAGGATTCCATTACAGTTAGCTCCTTCCATCTTTCTATAAACGGACCAGCTTCTCAGACCCTGCTACAGAATGACATCCCTGCACTATGATGTCACCGCTTAGTTTCACCAATGAGGTGTTCAAGGGAATTTGTAATGTTATTTTTGCCTCTTTATTATTTTTCATCTAGCTGAAGGGTTCAGTTTTATTCCCTCTCAGTGGAGCACCTTCTCTTACATGTATCCTCTATGCTCATTACATGGATTGTGGCCTTGTGATGAGAGATTCTTTAGAACATCCTTCTAATGATTTCCTTTAAACAATAATTTCACCATTTAATCAATTTCATAGAGGCCAGACTTGTGCAGTGTACAACTAATAGTTTTCCTGTCAACAGATTCTGCCACCTGAGCTGTAGATCTCTGTGGCCCCTCCAGAGTGACCATGGCCATCAACATCTCGCCATGAGCTATTTACCTTTGTGCTTAAGCCGTTGAGGCTTTCGCTATTTTGCTGTGTTCACGCCAGGGTTGGATTTGAAACAGCAGGACACCATTTACTTATTTTCTTATTTTTAGAGGATTATGATCAGGGGTATTAGAATTTTTGGTATGTATTATGTACAAATGTATGCCAGAGTTTTCACATTTTGTTTTCTGAAAGGTTAAAGAGAACATGCATCGTTATCTTTCCACTTTATAATTATAAGCTACTTTGTGTTGATCCATCGCTTGAAAATCTGTCAAAATACATTCAAATTTGTGGAGGCACTAAATCAGAATGGTTTGTGTTCTGCTTAGAGCTCGTAGCTCAGATACTGTGAGGTCACTGGAGGAAGAGGTTGCAGAGGACATTTAAAGCTCTATAGGCTTGGGGATGTTATTCAATGTATGAATGGAAACTGTTGCAAAGATTTAAATTTAGTGGAAGAAAATATCAGAGACATGTTGCCATCTTTTTGGACCAGACAATCTAATCCTGGTTATCTTCTGATATACTGCTTTAAATAAGAAAGGGAAATCTGAATCAAACAGGCAAACAAGCAAACCAACTTGTTGTTACTTGAGTGACAGTTTGAATAGAAAACATGTTGATAACTCTATGCTGGTTGGCTGAGCGTACGTGCAGTGTAGCAGAAAGACTCCTATCTGATGCGTCACCCCGCATAGTTTGGTCTTTGTTTGGCACAATTGATCCAAGTGTATCCTCTTTGTCTGGAACTAAAGGGGGAGAAACGGTCTCAGGCTTGGCTAAATGGGCCCATTTTATTATGGAAGTTTCCTTTTTTTCCCCTCCCTGTTGATCAAACGACAAGAAGCATGGATTGTGGGTTACAGTTATTAGGGGCACAGAATCAGCCTTTTACCATCTGTTACACCCTTGAGCACTAATTATCTTCAAGGTAGATTATGTCAGTTGTAAAAATCAATATAAAACTGACAGCTCAGTTTTAATTAGTAGAGTTACTGAAACCTGACAGGTAAAAAAAACTTGACGGAAAAAGAAGGAGAGGAAAAACCATTATTTTACAGTAAAATCTCAGAACCTCTTTTATCTTTCTGTTATTCCATCCTTTCTTGTTGGAATATTTCCTTATACTGCAAACTTTATATAATTCCAATCCTTAGATATTTTGATAAAATGTACTTTTCATGCTGCTCAGAGACAGAAACAGTTTTGAATCTGCTGCTTGTTTTTAGCGCTCATGTTTTCTTTTGTTCCATTGGGTTAGTGGTGTTTTTACAGAGACCGAGGATTACCTTTGCACATTAGAAGGTTTATTTAGGATGCAACAAAAATGTGATTTGGGACCAAGAACAAGCCAAAGTCTAAGTAGTAATTAAAAAAATGCTCTAGAATTTTTTTTTTTTTTTTTTTTTTTTAGTTTTGTGTTATTTTTTTCTATGTGAAAATGTAAAAGATATTGTAATTGTTATAGTTACATTGTTTTGTTCCCTATTAATTATGTCTGGATCATCAATGTTCACATATTGTAAGTGTAATAAAAATATAGTTTGATAGAAAAGTTTATTTGTGCTTTTTCCCTTAGCAGAGCTTTCATGTTGACCTTTCACTACTCCTTCCCACACACCTCTCTGCGACTTAAGAGCAGTCCAAGATTACTACAGTATAATCGTTATCATCTGACATACATTCTTTCTTTTCAGCCAAACGCTTGTGTTCCACGTCCCTCTCTGTCATGTAAGGGCCCTTTTATTCCTCTGCCCCTTCTTTTGCTCCATGGTTTTTTTGGCAGAGGGCCAGCCTGTTAGGAAGATGAGACTTCAATCAATCAGGGCTCCCCAGGGGGGCCTCCGTCCACAAGACCAGGACTCTTTAATTGCCCTTAGGCAGGCAGGTCTGCCGGCAGGGTGAGCCGCTGCTGCACATGTTCACAGAGGGGACCGGTGGCGCTATGCTCACTGTCCCTGTGCAGAGTATGAATCACTTTCCTGAGCAGATGGAGTTCTGAATAGGCCCTAACTTTGAGCAACATATGGATGAACAAGAGGATGCAATGATTTTGACTCGTTATAAAGGAGGTAGATTGTGTTTACTACACTATTTGTTTACTGTCAACCTCTAATTGACAAAATTGTCAAACAGAGCTAGAGATCTTTTAAAATTTGGAATTTTTATGTCAAATTTTGATTAGAAGTGCATCGTTTTTCTCACAGCTATGCAAAGCTCCAGCATCCCTTTCCTCTGATCCTAATAAGATTAACTTTGGATTTTTTTTTATTGTTTGTTTGTTTTCCTAGAAACTGATATTTTACTCCCTGATATCTAATGAATTAGTTGTACAACCTAAGAAATTATGTTTTGATGTGAAAGTCCTGTGATCCACAATAATCTCATCAGCATATTACTGAAGAATGTAATCTAATCCCAAAAGAAGACAGAGAGCTCAACATTAAAACTACAGAAATACTTCAAATACAATTTAAAACTTGCAGTTCTCACAAAATATTTATACCCCTTAAACCTTTCTAGACAAAACTTTAATGTATTCCATTGGAATTCTATGAAAATATGAAATACAAATTTTCTGGCAAAACAGCAAACCTATAAGGATTTGATAATTCATCTAGACTTACAGGGCAGCTAAGGAAAGCATTGGTTAGATAAACAATAAACAGCCCAGAGGTCAATAGTATACTTGGAGGAGCTGCTAAATTCCACCGTTCAGTCAGGAGCATCGGTTAAAATGACAACTATTAGTTATTCTGTCACCAAGGTTCTACTGGGCTTTACAAGTTTTTTAATATATTATTCATTTTTTCATCTCAGAGGTATTTTTCCTAGCCAAAAATAAAAGCAACAATAACAGCCATTTAAAAATGTAAGGGAGCCTGAAGGGAAAACAGTCAAACATTTTAAATCTTAAAAAGAAGATTAGGTTTGAGAAGAGTGTGGAGCTGTAAGAAAAACACACACAGAGCAGAGGAAGAGAGTAGAGGGTAGGGAACTCATTGGAGTTAATGATGTGGAAAATCCCCCAATTAGAGCATTTTCTTGAGCTTCAGGATGAGTTCAAAATTAGGTCTTCTGACAGCTTCGGGATTAGTATCCAGGTTAGGCTGAGTGGACCTGGGTCCAACCGGAAACCTACTATTTGTCTGCTAGGTGAGTGCGATCCAGGACTTTGGGGCAATAATCAGGAGCTGTGGCAATTATGCAATAGGTTATAGGTACAAATAAAAGCATGGAAAAACACTATAGATAAAGAGATTTATTGAAAATAAACTTTTATGTGAACAGTTTAATTACACAAACTCAATACAATGATATACTTTGTCTTCATTAATAAAAAATAATTAATTGTATTATAACAGTTTAATACAGAAAATATATATTTTTTATCTGTCCTTTCATTTTTCTACATTCATTCTGTTTAGAAAAACAAGTAAGCATCTGTTTGACCAATTCACACTTCGGCAGGGTCCCTGCAGTCTATGGGCGATGGCAGGGCATGACATGTAACACTCTACAAAAAACGCAAGAACAAGGAGCAATATGGATGGACCATTAACTTAAGTTGCATGTCCTTTGACAGTGAAAGCAGCCATTGTATCTGTAGAGAGCTGATTTCCATAATCCATGTTCTTTTTCTCTGAGACCAGTGGTTAGAGAGGGGTTTCAGTCTTGTCTTGGTGTTTCCTGCTCAGGTCCTGGCTCTTTTCTGCTGAGCGTGCCCTGTTCCTGTTTTCCATCTGAATGTTTTTGCCTGAACTCGCTGTAGGACTCATGGAACCCTCAACCTGCCTAAATGCTCTGTGGATTCCTGGATCCCTTGACCTGTCTGTTCCTGTTCTGATCGGAAGACCTCACCGGGTTGCAGGTTCCTGGATCTCTGAGTCTTCTAGTTTTGAGCTGTTTCCCTGACCTGGCTCGGACTCCTGCCTGTCCACTGAGGCTGCTATCGGCGACACTCTGGGTGGCTTCTGCTGCATCTCATTGGCATCTGCTGGATCCTGCCGCTCCTGTGAAGATGGACTGAACTATTAAACCAGGTAAGTGACTCACATGGATATTCATCTTTTGTCAGATTATCATGGTCACTTACCTGTGTTTCTCCCTGTGTTGGCCCCACCTCCCCCTGCAGCAGTTCCACAGATACTCAGCTCTGCGTTCAATTTGTGTTTGTTTTAATAAACATCTTGAACTTTCCCACTTTCTGTCTAACCTTGAATTCTGGGTCCTACATTCTGAGCCCCTTGAAAAATATGTTATTCAACTCTGCAAATATGTGCAGATGGCAGCAGAATAAGTGATTGACTAAAACTTGCACAAATCAACATACAGAGAAATGTTTAACCTTTTAAACAACTATAACTGATAAAAACTGCACAGGGATCCAAGTTTGTCTGACCATTACATCCAGTGAAGAGCACAGAGAGTATGTATGATGAAATATAAGGCTAAATCTAAAAGATTTTTGAGTGTTCGAGTGTGTTTATGCAAACAAAAGTAGATTTTTTTTACTAATTTTCCGACACTGAAAAGTAAAAGTGAAAAGTTCCAGTGGTGAGACATCATCCCGTAATTGCTTCAACTCTTGAGATTCAGTTTGTACACTGCTCAAAAAAATAAGAAAAAAACACTAAAATAACAGATCCTAGATCTGAATGAATTAAATATTTTTAATTTAATACAAAGTTTAATGTGCAACAAATCACACAAAAATCATCAATGGAAATCAGATGTATTAACCAATGGAGGCCTGGATTTGGAGTCACACACAAAATTAAAGTGAAAAAAATACACTACAGGCTGTTCCAACTTTTATGTAACTACCTTAAAACAGGTCTGTACGACCTCTCTACAACCCCTAGGAATGCTCCTCGTGAGGTGGCAGATGGTCTCCTGAGGGATCTCCTTTTAGACCTGGACTAAAGCATCCACTAACTCCTAAACAGTTTGTGGTGCAACATGACATTGGTGGATGGATCGAGACATGATGTCCCAAATGTGCTAAATCAGATTAAGATCTGGGGAACAGGCGGCTAGTCCATAGCTTCAGTGCCGTCATCTTGCAGGATATGCTGAAACACTCCAGACACATGAGGTCTAGCATATGGTCTCACAAGGGGTCTGAGGATATTGGTACCTAATGGCAGTGATGCTACCTCTGGTGAGCACGTGGAAGGCTGTACAGCCCCCCCATATAAATACCACGCCACACCATTACTCATCCACAGCCAAACGGGTCATGCTGAAGGATGTTGCTGGCAGCAGACTGCTCTCCAACGTGTCTCC